TGGGTCAATTTGGGATCTGTGTAATCAATAATTTATTAATTATTATTATTTCTTTGATTACTATAGCATATTTTTATTTTCTTTACAATTTCAGCTAAGCCTTTTGTTCACATTGTCAGGAAGCTACGGCTGACGCGTGATGATTTTGAAATTTTAAAAATAATTGGCCGTGGCGCATTTGGTGAAGTGTGTGTTGTTCGCATGCTATCATCGGAAAATATATTTGCCATGAAAATATTAAACAAATGGGAAATGCTGAAGCGTGCAGAGACTGCATGTTTTCGCGAAGAAAGAGATGTGCTAGTCCTCGGAGATCGTCAATGGATAACAAATTTGCATTATGCGTTTCAGGATAATATAAATTTGGTATGCCATTTATTTAAAGTTTTAATTGAGTTCATTTATTTACATATTGATTTATTATTTTAGTACCTGGTCATGGATTATTACTGCGGTGGCGATTTATTAACGCTGTTGAGCAAGTTCGAGGATAAACTTCCCGAGGATATGGCAAAATTTTATATTACAGAAATGATCTTGGCAATAAATAGCATTCATCAGCTGAAGTATGTTCACAGAGATATAAAACCGGACAATGTTTTGCTAGACAAACGTGGGCATGTGCGTCTGGCTGATTTTGGTTCCTGCTTGCGTTTGGATAAGGATGGCACAGTGCAATCAAATGTTGCTGTTGGAACACCCGACTATATATCGCCCGAGATCTTGAGGGCTATGGAGGATGGAAAGGGTCGATATGGAACCGAATGTGATTGGTGGTCACTTGGTGTATGCATGTACGAAATGTTATATGGGGAAACACCATTTTATGCAGAGAGCTTAGTGGAGACCTATGGAAAGATTATGAACCATCAGAATTGCTTTAATTTACCAGCTCAAGATACTTCACACAGTAAGTTATCTGAAGCGTCTAAGGACCTACTACGCAGACTAATTTGTATTCCTGAAACGCGGCTGGGCCAGAAGGGGCTACGTGATTTTATGGAACATGCATGGTTCGAGGGGATCGATTGGGAGAATATTAGAACTGGTCAAGCGCCTTATATACCGGAAGTGTCGAGTCCAACAGATACATCGAATTTTGACGTTGACGACAATGATGTGAGATTAATTGATTCTATTCCGCCTTCGTCTAACCCGGCCTTTTCTGGATTTCATTTGCCATTTATTGGATTCACATTTTCTCAAAATAGCTGTAGAGCGGGCCTGAAAACAGACGACTTATTTCCTGATAGCAAACCGCAAACATCTGTTTTCGACGAGAGTCTTGGAAATTCTGTTTCGAGCAATAAGCAATCAAAAGATGCAGAAAAATCAAACGAAGCACTCAATAAACAAATTAAAGCACTAACCGAACAATTAGTCACGTGTAAGCACGAGAAAAACGAACTGTCCGCAAAATATAACGAAATACTTGAACGACTACAGGTTCAAGAAGCTGAACTAAAAGAAACAATAGCTCAGCGTAATGTCGCAATGATGGAATACTCAGAAGTTACCGAAAAACTCACAGAGCTTCGAAACCAAAAACAAAAACTCTCAAGACAGGTTAGAGATAAGGAAGAAGAGCTCGATGCGGCAATCCAAAAGAACGATAGCCTGAGAAACGAACTGCGTAAATCGGATAAAACTCGTAGGGAATTGGAACTGCATATTGAAGATGCTGTAAACGAGGCGTCAAAGGAGAAAAAAATAAGAGAACATGCCGAAGAATGCTGTCGAAAGCTACAAAATGATTACCGCAAATCGGTACCGAATGTCGATTCTACTTCGCCCTCGGGAATGGCAGCATACGAATTGGAACGCGTCGAACTTCAATATGCGGAAAAGCTAAATCATCAACAGGCACGGAATAACTTTGAATTGGATGCCCTCAAGGAACAACTAAGCGAATTGGAAGCGGCCAACGCAATGCTCTCTAAAGAACTGCAGCAGGCGCATGAAAAGATCAAATCTACTCCCGATTACATAGCCGACTCAGCAGAAGCGATATTGGAGTTGCAGAAGCGATTCGACTTGGAGAAATCCACATGGTACGAGGAGAAGCAACGTTTGAACACAGAAGTCAGTACGAAATCCAAAAATCTACGAGACTTGCAGGCCGATGAAATTCAAATATTGAAGGAGCTCCAGGTGAAACGCGAAGCAATAAATCATTGGGAGCTGCAAATGGCCGAAATAATACAATGGGTATCAGATGAGAGGGATGCTCGAAGCTATTTGCAGGCGCTGGCAACAAAGATGACTGAAGAAATCGAATATCT